CACAAGACTGAGAGTGCTTTCTGAAATTTTATGCTCTAGACTCTTGCCTCACTCTAGTCCCAACCTAGTCTTAATCTCTGACTTTTTGCTGAGTTCATTCAGAAGCACTATATGTGAAAAAGGTAAGAGAAAAGTAAGGTTATGATATTTATTACTCCAGCTTCCTCTCTAGGGTGTTGCCATAGAGTGGGACCACATGGTTTTCTCTATATCTGGATTCTGCTAATTACTCCTTCCCTTCAGACCTGTAGGCAGGTGGCGGCTTCTAGCTCTGGACACTACACTATCCCTTGTAGTTTCCCTACACCCAACTCATATGTTGGTAAATAGTCACATAAAATATGTGTATCTCTACATATCTTTATTTGTCACTATAAGTACATATAGCTATTTATCAATATACATTGATCATTACTGTTTTGTCTCATTTGTGGTTTGGTTAGAATTTCCTCATCAGCTTTCCCTGGACTCAGTAAGCCATTTCAATCAGGTTTCTGTTTTAATTCCAGAGATAATTCCATCTACTATTTAAGTATTACTCATTTCTTGTTAGGATTTGTGTAAGTCTGCTGTAACTATTCTATAGATCTCTTATTTTTTTCCCTCACTATTTCCATTACTTTAGATGTTTTCTCCATTTGATCTTCCAGACCACTCATTTTGATACCAACAGTGACATCCTTTCCTTCAATTCACATATTGAACTGCTGAGATGGGAAATCATGAATTTAATGTACAGAATGTCTTCATGTGCATGTGTGTATGTATGTGTGTTGTTGTTGTTGTTGTTATGTGCCGTCGAGTTACACCCAAATCATAGCTACCCCTCCTTGGGTTTCCAAGGCAGTATCACTACAGAAGTAGATTGCCCCATCTTCCTTCTGAGGAGTGGCTGGTGGGTTTAAACTGCCAGCCTTCTGGTCAGCAGTCAAGTGCCTTAGCCACTATGGTACCATGCACTTGAACTTCTTTATGTTATGATTTTTTATGTTACGATTTTTCTTATCAAATTGTTCTTTGTTTCCTTTAGTAGCTCTATGGGTTCTGTTTATTTATGTAGCTAGTTATTGAATGAGTGGACTTTATAGGATGAGTAAGCAACTTTATTCCTTCAAAATGTTTTCTCATTGTCAACTTTGCAAAATTACTAAGTTTACTTGTTCTTCCCCATCTCTGGAAAAAATCTCTGACAATTCTCATAATTTTACTAATCATTACCAGGTAATGAATGAACAGTCTCCTTTTTCCTGTTATGTCCTACCTGACAGGTCACTCTCTGACTGTGGGGCCCCTTTAGACTCTGTGTTTCTTAGTTATCTCAGTGAAAGTCAGAACTGTTTATTTCAATACTTTAGGAGTCCCTAGGTAATACAAATTGTTAAAGCACTCAGTTGTTAACCAAGAAATTGGTGGTTCCAGTCCACCTGGAAGTGCCTCAGATGATTTCCTTCTGAAAAACCATTCACTGAAAACCCTATGGACACAGTTCTACTCTGACACACTTGGGGTGGCCATGAACTGGAATTGACTTGATGGCAATTAGTCAATGGGTTAATGACCATAGTCTCATAAGTAGCAAAAGGACTCGCACACTTGCCCACTGTAATAGATTGAAATGTGTTCCTCGATATTGAAGTCTTAACCTCTGTACCTGTGAATGTGACCCTGTTAAGAAATAGAGTCTTTGAAGATATTATCAGTTAACATGAAGACATATTGGTATAGGGTAGGTCCTAATCCTATATGAGGATTGCCCAGAAGCATGTCAGAAAATAGAACCTATGGCAATTTAAAACTAAAATTGCTACATGATATCCCACAGCTGGCGATGGAAACTGTGATGGTGAATAGAAAATGTTTGTTGGTGCCGCCCCCACCCCATGTGGCACCCAGAGCACATGCCATACCTAGATAAACCTCTATTAAACCAAAACAAAAACAAAACTCACTGCTGTTGAGTCGGTTGTGACTCATAGTGACCCCTCCTTGGGTTTCCAAGGAGGTATATCTATGGAAATAGATTGCCCAGTCTTCCTTCCGAAGAGTGGCCCAGTCTTCCTTCCAAGGAGGGGATGTTTGAACTGCCAGCCTTCTGGTTAGCAGTCACATGCCTTAGGCACTACGCCACCAGAGCTCCTAAACCTCTACTATTATCCTTATAAAACAGAAAAAGAGACAGAGACTGAGGGAAGAACACTAGTGACACCATGGCTGCAAGGTAAGGAATGCCTAGAGTTAACAGAAGGGAGGCATGGAATAGATTTTTTTTCAGAACCTCAGAAGGAATTAACATAGTCAAATCCTGATCTCAGACTCTCAGCCTTCAGTACTGTGAAATAATAAATTCCTGTTCTTAAAATCCACTCAGTTTATGATATTGTATTATGGCAGCTCTAGGTAACTAAGACATCTGGAGAGAGATTTATGGATCTCTGACTTCTCAGTTTCCTTATAGGTTAGGTAGTTCCTTCTTGGCCTCCTGGGGGCCACTGAGACCAGGAACATTGATACAGGGTCAGAGGTAACATTTCTGTGTGTTGGGGGAGGAGAGGGACACAGATCTCAACTGGCCAGCACAATTCAAGCATACAGCACAATTCCTATCATTGTTCTGTGACTCTGAGACTAGTCTCCAGGGTTATCTTGGAATCAGAATAGAACCCAAGCCTAACTTTGCACCTTGCTGCCTGAAGATTCCAGTAGTTGTTTACCTTAGGAGATGATACATTAAACCTGAGAGAAGGGAAAGGTGCTGAGTTTCTGTTGCCATCTTCCTAGAATCTACTGCTCCCAGTTATCCAGCTGCTTTAATGAGGACTCTTTAGTCAAATGGAATTTTCAAGTTGTTTTAGCATTTTCCTAAGAGGCTCTGGTTGCACACTGGTTAAGGCATTCCTCTGTTAACCAAAAGGTCACCAGTTTGAACCCACAAGCTGCTCCACATGAAGATGTGGCAGTCTGGGCTTGTAAAGATTTACAGCCTTGGAAACCCTATGAGGCAGTTCTATCCAATAGGGTTCTTATGAATTGGAATTGACTTGATGGCAGTGAGAAATGGGAGTGTTTTCCTATAGGATAAAGCTCACAAGCTTTCACAGAAACTTCAAAAAATGGCTAAAACAAAAATCCTCAATTTGAATTTGAGTCTACTTTGGACTGAATACTGTAGTTAGATATAACATTTAATTTAGAAAGAGTAGGAGTGTCAAAAATTTCATTTTAGTTGGATTCACAATCAACAACCATGGAAGCAGCAGTAGAGGATTACAAACAGTGTATTTCATTGGGCAAATGTGCTGCAAAAGACCATTTTAAAGTGTTAAAAAGCAAATATATCACTTTGAGAATTAAGGTGCACCTGACCCAAGCCATGGTATGTCAGTTGCCTTTATGCATGTAAAAACTGGACAATGAATAAGAAAGACCAAAGAAGAATCAATGCCTTTGAATTGTGGTGTTGGTAAAACCAAAAAACCAAACCAAACTCACTGCCCTCGAGTCGTATCCAACTCATAGTGACCCCTCCTTGGGTTTCTGAGGTGGTATCATTATGGAAGTATATTGCCCAACCTTCCTCCCAAAGAGTGGCTGGCAGGTTTGAATTGTCAGCCTTCCGGTTAGCAGACAAATGCCTTAGGCATTACACCACCAGAACCAAAGAATATAAAATGTAACATGGACTGCCAGAAGAATGAACAAATCTGTCTTGGATGAAATACAGCCAGAATGCTTCTTAGAAGAGAATATGCTAAGATTTCATCTCATTTCCTTTGGATGTGTTATCAGAAGTGACCTGTCCCTGGAGAAGGATATCACGTTTGGTAGAGGATCAGAAAAAAAGAGGAGAGGGAAGATGGATCAATCTACTTCAGTAGTGATACAGTCTCGGAAACCTGAGGAGGGGTCACTACAAGTCGGGTGTGACTTGACGGCACATAACAACAACAACAACTTCATTGAGATGGGTTGACATGTGGCTGCAATAATTGGCTCAAACACAGCAATGATTATGAGGATGGTGGAGGACCAGGCAGTGTTTCCCTCTGTTGTACATAATGTCGCTATGAGACACAATGAGACATAACCACCTCAACAGCACCTAACAACAACAACAGTATATATGTGTGTGTCTGTGTCTATACGTACATGTGTGTTTTTTATATATGTATGTTAAATACCATTTTTTACACAAATGCTATCGGATAAATAGACTTAGGGAGCTCTGGTAGCATAGTGCCTAAGGCACTTGACTGCTAACCAGAAGGCTGGCGGTTCAAACCTACCAGCCACTCCTCAGAAGGAAGATGGGGAAGTCTACTTCTGTAGTGATACTGCCTTGGAAACCCAAGGAGGGGTCACTATGATTCGAGTCTGACTCGACAGCACATAACAACAACAACAACAAATAGACTTAAAATAGGCTTTTATGGGTTAACCAGATTTCATCATTTCTAAGATTATTTCTATGTAAAATACATTTTGAATTCCAAACCAGTTTTACAAAGCCTTTTTAATTGCAGGGATTGCTAATATAATACTTTGCTCCAACGATTATCCAAACACTGATATATACAATTAACTCCACATGCATTAAATTAATGGTACATTTGTCTTATGTGACATTTAGTTACAGAACATCTAATTGGTAGTGATGTTTGGCTTCCAGTAGCAAATTTCTAGAGTCAGTCTATACCATTCTTGATCCTGAAGCAGATTTTATTGTAGGGATGTAGAAGATTAAGGAATCTAATTGAGATAATAGAAATTCATGAACTAGTTCCTTTTATTGATAATTACTCCCTAATTTTGTCCTGTTATTCACTAAAAATGTGATTTCTTCAACAGGCCACTGCTGATTTGTAACTTCAGATTCTACGCTTTGCTTTCTTATACCATCCATCAAGTTTCTGTTTGGTAAGAATTTCTTCTGTCAACTTGGAACTTGGTTGTTGCTTCTTGTTTTCCAAATATCGCTGTATAGAAAATATTTTATCAGGTATTTAAGTTTTATTTGACAAGTTTAAAAAATCATCCAATGGTGTTACAGTATTTAATTTATGTACTTTGAGAATATTTTTTAAAGGCTTTGAACATTTGACAGTTGAGGCACTGGGTTTGTGTGAGTTCATTGGTTTCATGGTAGAAAACATTCTTTCAAATTTGCCAGTTTCAGTACTCATTTCTTGAATAACAGTTTTATCAGGGACACCCACAAATTTATTTGTTAGGCTGGAAAGTATCTGTGAGAAGTTATAGGCTTTATTCTGACATCTCTTTTCTAATATCTGCTTATTAGTTTTCCTCTTTGGTTTATCCTCTACAACTCTGCATTTCACTTCAAAACGTGGTGTTTTCATATTTTCCCTCCATGCTGTAGTCATTTTGAGATTGGAAGGAGTAATAGATTGATCATGGATTAAAGATTTGAGAATTCCACGATTTCTTTCTAAAACAATATTTGTTCTTTTATGAGAGTAAATGTTTTCATTTCCCATAAGATGAGGAGGAAACTTTTTTTTTGTCAAAAGTAACATTTGTACATATTCTGCCTCATGGAAAATTATAGGATTTGTATAATTTTGTTCCTATGAAGTAAAGAAAAGAGTATTTAGTATCTAGTTGAGGTAAGAAACTACATATGGTTTTAAACATGAATATAAAATTACTGTAAAATATTCTAAAAAATGACCACATAGAATTATTTAACACGAAGAATAATTGTTTTCAAACTCACACACAAAAATGTACTTTCATATTACCTATTACCTTGTCTTAATAATCTATAGAGGTGTTTGGAGTATAGTCTAAACTTTTCACTTTCTTCAAATCTTTTTGAAAGTAAATTGGGCTATGAAGAAATAAATATATTTCTGAATGAGATGATGGCATTGGGAAAAACAATAATTGGTGCAATGGTACATTGTTCTGGCATTTACTAGGTTCCCATGCTCCAGAAATAGAAGTATATCAATAAATAGATTGAGCCAAAGATCATAAGATGATCACAAGCCCAAATTACCAAGTCTGGATATCCTACTAAACAATGTAAACAATTAAAAATCATCTCTAAAACTGTTACATGTATTTTTATGCTTCAACACTTAGCATAATATTTGGCATATAAAATGTGTTCAATATATATTTGCAGAATAATTGAACTAAAGCAACAGATTTTGAAAATGTTGTTATGTGCCATTGAGTCAGACCTGACACATAGCGACCCCTCCTTGGGTTTCCAAGGCAGTATCACTACAGAAGTAGATTGCCCCATCTTCCTTCCAAGTAGTGGCTGGTGGGTTTGAACCACCAGCCTTCTGATAAGCAGTCAAGTGCTTTAGGAACTACACTACCAGAGCTCCCAGATAAATAGACCATCTTTATCAGAATAATGGCAAAATCTGTGTGTATAGGCTACTCACTAAAATCTTTTCTGTATATCTTTTATGGCAAAAAAGATGAACCCCAAAGAAACTGATCACATATGCATATTACCAACATTGAGTTTGCAAATTTTAAGTCAATAGTTACTACTTTTTCTTTAAAAATATAATTACGAGAGTTCCGGCAAGATGGCGGACTAGGCAGAAGGACTGCACAGATGCTCTTCAACAAAGAAAAGGGATACCAATTAACGGAGACACAGAAGGTAATCTTGGACCCCTGAGCCTTGAAGGGAAGGATACAAAAGTGGACTAAACCCCAACTAGCAGAAGAATTTGCGTGAAAATAC